GGGCGGCCCAGCACTCGCACTCACCCGCAGCCTTGTCCGCCGCCATCGCTCCCGCCGCGCAGTCGGAGCGCGCCGATAGGGCCGGGACTTCCCCCGCCGCGCGCTTCCCGCACCACCGCCAACCGGCTGCTGTCCGTCCGTACCCCCCCCACCCCCCCGGGTCCGGGACTACTTTGCCGCCGCCGCCGCCCTCCGCGCGCTGAGCCCGCCCCGCCGCCGGCGCCGCTCGCTCCGATTCGCCCGCCGCTTCCGGGTTCCCGGCGGCCTCGCGACGTCCGGCCGTTGCCGGGGGACCGCGCGGCTTGACGTCAAGACGCCGCAGCGCTTCCCGCTGTACGAGTGTGTGAGGGGGTAGGGGAACGCCGGGGCGAAGCGCATGCGCGCCACCGCCCGCCCCGCCCCGCCCCGCCCCGGGGGCGGTCGGTGCCGGGCGCCATGTTGGCGTCGGTTGGCCGGCTGAGGGGGAGCGGCGCGGGCGGTTCAGGGGGTTGAACTGATTGGCAAATGCCGGCCGCTGTCTCGAACGTATTTTGTCTTTGCTGCCCGATTCGGACGTGTCGGGGAAACCTTCAAAATATTCGCTCGTTTATGTGGGTTATCAGCCTATTTTAGGGGGTGTCGAGGTGCTCATTACCATAGTAATTAACGCCGGTGAGGCGCCCCGGTGCCTGCGTGCCCAGCCCCCGGTTCGGTCCCACACCGACACCTCCCTGTGCGCTGGGGGGCAAAACAACCTTCCTCGGGGTGAAGATTCCAATTAGCATTTGTGATTTTTGTCGTTCAAGTACCAGACGTGGGATAACTTACATGGGCAGCGTCAAAAATATTAAAGATTCTTCAATGTTTATAATGGGGGTTCCTAAGAGACTTCTTCCATAATTTTATCATCTGTTAATCTTGTATTATTACTTCAGATGTGGTTCTCCAAGAATTCCTCCCCCTCCTCTTCATTTATTTCTGTTAAACATGGACTTGTTTTTCTACTTGTGACAGTAAGAGTGGATACACCCGATTCTGATTGACAGATTCTGCATTACATGATTTTGTCCTTGGAGGACAACTTTTGTCAAGAAAGGCCAGATTTGAGGATGAAACTTGTCCGTGAGGAAGTCGATGGCAAAAGGGATTTAGTGGAAGAAAGATTTCTTCTGACTAGCCTTATTTCGGTAGGGCTCCGGCTGCCAGGTTCTCCCCAGAGAGGTGAACCATAAGGAAAGGAAACTATGTTTAACAGAGGGATACAGTTGGAAAGAAAGAAACATACTTTTAGAGGCATCAGCTCTGAATACCTTGAAACCACCACAGCTTTTAACCAGCCAGGCACTGTTAAATGAACGATTCTCAAAACATTACTTCAGGAATTTCAAGAGCAGGACGATTCTTTTTATTTTGTAATTGGAATTCTGAATATTCCAAATTATGTTTAATGACTTCTATTAATCACCAGTTCTCCAATTCCTCTTCACTAAGCTCTGACCTTCAGACTTGCTTTTAAACACATATATAAGAGAGAATCCTGCAATCTTCACTCCTAAGTGTCTGATTGCAAGTCTCTGAATTTGTTTTATCTTCTTTTATAAGACATGTCTGCTGGCCCAGACCATTAGGCCATATCTGTATTACAGAATATCTGCCAATAAAGTTGTAATAGCAAGTCTTCATTATGTGTATTTACTAGTGTGATTATTTATGCTTTTATTTATATGTGTATTTACATACACATACATACATATATCTATATGTAACACCCGTGCAATAGACCCTATAAAGGCAAAAGCACTGTACAACTAGTGTAACTGCATATTTTCTCTGACTTCTATCAAAACAAGGAAGTCACCAAAAATCCACCCTGAGCAAGCATGCCTACTGTACGTCTCACTCCCTCTCAGGCTTGGTACAGCGCGTATCGCCAGTATCTAAGCAGTAGATCTAAGGTCCCTGCTCGCTCCTGAGCATGACACATCAAGATGAGCACCACAGTGAATTTACTATTCCCTACTGTAGCTTTCCTTTAACAATCTTGTCAAAGCTCATTCAGCTTCAAGTATGGAAGCCCTGCTATCTTGCTTCTCATTTCTTCTACATCATGTCATCTAGAGGACAGCCATAGGAGTTTCCTTTATCCATCACGCTATGATTTTACCGCAGGGCTTGTTTACCTGAGGGGTACTTACAGCAATATTTGGTATATCTTCCAGCATTGTTTTGCCATGTTTGTGGCTTGTAGTTCCAACATAATTAATTTTTTCCATTTCTAAGGAACAGACAATGCAATTTTTGTCAGCTGGCCTTTTTTTCTTTTTTCAGTATGGATGATTTTTAAAAGGAACTTAACACAAATAAAATCAGGTCTTCTCCCACCTTACTAATAATCAATTCTTAGTTGCTTATGTGTGGGGGTGTACTGAAGGAAGGGAAGAGATACCTGCCCTTTACTACAGTTCAAGCATACAGTCATGCAATCAAAAATGTTGACATTTTTCCTTCAAAAATATTGTGATAGCATCACTACTTTCCTCTAAGGACAGAGGAAAGAGTTTCTTGACTACATGTATGTATAATTTACATTCTGCCTGAGGCATAGTAGATCTTGCCAAGCGAGCAGATCACACACAAAGAGATTCTGGTCTCAGTGAGACAGGTACGCCATCTGCTGTGGAAGATACAGAATAAAATCAAACACCATCTGAGAGAATAAAAAAAGTGTGTGAAAAAAACCACTTCTCATAAAATATTACTTCTCCTGGAGTTTTGGGGGTTTTTTTGGTGTTTTTTTGTTTTGTTTTGTTTTGAGTAAAGAAATTACCATAATTCAGGCTTTTAGCTCAAAACTCAGTTTGAAAAAACAAACATTTAAGGTCTCTTTTGCCCATTTCTAGGCTAAATCAAAAGAAGCCAAAAGGAGCCACCTGTAATTTGTAATGTTCAAGGGGCAGGGGGGAGGTTTCAGGAGGAATAAAGCATATCTGATCACAGACAGAGAGCAGTCCCAGCACCTCATTCCTCCCTTGTACAGTACCTTCTTTTAGAAGACTAGATTAAGTAGAAGTAGGCCAAGGTTTCCTCTCTGATTTTGGCCTAACAAAGCAAATTTTCCAAGGCTCTCTTTAAAGATCTTCCAGACTCAAAACCAGCAAGACAGAAATCTCCTACCTGGCCTTGCATCACTAGTCGTAGATAGCCTCTCCACTGATTGTATGAGCAAGACCTGGCTCATAGAGAAGAAAATCAGGATTTGCAACATCCCCAATCACTGCCAGAGTATGAGAGAGAAGAACATGGCCAGCTCCAAAGGGAACCGTGAAAGTTACAATTCTTTTGCCAGATACAAGAGTATGGAAATCTCGGCAGCACTTTGCCTGCCTAGTAAACTCCAAAATACATATGATTTAATGGAAGAAATACTTTGTTATTAATAGGGCTTCCTATCTCTTGCCACTATAAAGTTTAAAAGCTTGTAACCCCTAGGTGGCACTATACCATAAAGTAAAGCGTGTTTAAGTACTATTTTCCTCCTACAGATGGAGTTCTTACTTAAAATGTAAACTAGTGTAAATTTGAGTAGTTCAATGCAACTATTAGTCTCAGCTTGGTAATCCTCTTTTTCTCAATCTGTCTCTCAAAGTCAATAAAATATACTGCTGTGAACCTGATTTAAATACAGTATTTTTGCCTTCAGAGTGCTATGGAATATGTTTTCCTGGAGCATTATGGTGCATCACAAACAATTACAGTATTTGTTCTGTCTGTGAGCAGTGAATAAACCAGCCTAGGCTGTGCTCAATTTAGCAATTCACATGGAGCAGCAGGAGTAGACTGGCAGCTGTAAACAGCTGGCGCTGAGGTTCCTCACATCTCCAGTATATTCTCACACAGAGGTTATTTTGCAGCAGGTGTGAACCAGTATATTTTGCACCAGATTGGAACAAGCTCAGTACCACACATCTCCATTACACATTTTGAAACTCCCTGAACTAAAGCTCTCTCACAAAACTTCCAGGAAGCAGCAAGTTCCCCTTTCACCTGTCTCATGCAGATACGTTTCACACCAGCCTCCACTGTCTACATAAAAACTTCCCAGGTGGAAGGAAGCCCTCCAGTAGTTCTCTCTCCTGCAATTCCTGAGTGACACCGCTTTATTTGTTTCACACCCTGCTCTTCACTTCGATGCTGGAACATGCATTGCTTGGTGGCGCAGAGGAACGTCAACCTTCACCCTGCAGCCACAGTAGCAGTGCCAGGAAAATACCTTGAGTAAGGCCTTCTTACACCTTGCTTTCACAGACAAAAAAGAGAGGCAGCGTATCTTTCTGACAGTGCTTACCACTGTAACAGCTTTGCTCACAAACAGATGCTGAGCCTCGGAAACAAGCTTAGACAGCCAGAACCTCATCAACACCGGGATGTGGAAAGAGAACAAGAGGGTGTAAAACTTCTGAGAGTGGTGGAGGGGGGAGATTGAGAAACATAACGAACAATGGAGCATAAGAGGAATCATGCCACAATATCCTCAACAAACTTTTATGATTCCCCTTTTTGAAAAGAGGTGTTTGTCTTTTCCTCACATTATAGTACCTGATAAATAACTCATTCACGGCATCATTTACCTCCCCCTTCCCTCATTCTAGATCTGCTCTGATTTTGCTTGCATAAGGTAATGTTATGTATTTTCCCTCCATTTGGCTCTTATAATAGCACCGTTATCTTTTTCTGTTAATGGGTTTAAATCCAGGGATCGCCCAAATTGTGACATGTAAGGCTTTCCTAGAATATGAAACAAAAAATGGTTTTATATCATCTTTGTAATTTGTCCCTTCTAATGTCATCCAGAAGAAATTTATGCACCCAGTTATAACTACTCTGGAAATCAAGGCGATTGTGGAAGGAAAGCTATACACATACCACCCTGTATTTTGAGTTGTTTACCTTCCCGTAGAGAAGGCTAGCTTAGAGAACTTTGGTTTCCACTTAAACACTCAAATTGACAGAAGAGCCTTTATTTCAACAGAAGTATACTAAGGCCCAATGCATAATTTGCAGAGGGGCAAAATTTCCAGTGTTACACAGTTAAAAGCAAAAGGATCAGGTCTCTTGAACATTTTGTGACTACATCAGTGCCTTCTAGCAGAAGCAGGAACAGTTATTTGTAACAGTAGGATGTCTGCTGCATGACATGTGTTTATGTCCAACGTGTCAAGCACTACTTTATGCTGTTTCTACACTGCAGAGCACTTTGACACTTTCTGAGATGCAGAAATAGAAAGGGAATGCACCTGTGTCAAATCAGCGGCTTTGAGTAAACATTGGTTCTTTCCGCCCAGTCTTAAGAATTCTTCCAGTGCTGGTCCAAGCTGATACATACTTTCCTTTGTAGGGAAGTCTAAGGCTTGATGTCCTTGATATTGCAACAGTTACGAAGCTGGAGTTTATTGAGAAATTATGTTATGTTTCCAGGCAGGAATAATCTATCAATTGGAAAATAAAATAAGTAAATTTTCACTAATTACTTGCTTGTAGTAGTTATTATTCCCAGCACTTCTCCAGACATTCAGAAAGAGATGGTTTCTCTCTTGAGAAGTACAAAGCAATTCTTATTTCACTAGAGATACAAATGAAGTATTCCATGATTTCATGAAGTATTTCATGAAGTCATGATTCATGCTTTCATACAAATGAAATATCATAGAAATGACAAAGCTTATGTGAGACATTGCAAAAGCCAAAGAATGTGTTCAGTACGGTTTTTCTACGTGCACACAGTGCAGTAGAATCTTTGTGTATGTTCTCATTATGCTGCTTTTTTTTAAAAAAAAAATGTTATTTAAATTTAAAGTATTTTTTCCTCCAAAACATTTCAGAACTTAAGAACATAAGACTGAGCGTATTTTGTGTGTCACTCAATTTGCTGAAAGATGTTAAGATTATTCTGATGGAGTTGTTTTTTTAAGAGATAGGAGGTTTGTTTATCTATTCTTTTCCTAAAATAGTAGGCCTCTGTAAAACTTGCATCTAAATGCTTTCCTACTGCACATCTGCAGATCATATGAAGATATCAAATTTTTTTGTTTGTTTGTTGTGAAAGCCAACAGGAAATACAATACCCGGCTGGCAACTACCGTTGTTCTGTGTGAGACTGCAAGGTTCTGACTCAGGCAGTCGCCAATTCAAGTTCACACCTCAGTATTTAACAATACATGATTAAACACAAAGGTTTTATTAAATTTTAACTTGCTGTGTTACATACCAGAAATAAAATATTGTATGCGATCCCAAATGAATCCAGGACAAAAATCCCCATCCATATAATGTTTTCTTTACTTGTAAAGATCAATGCAGATTTCATTTTGTTTCAGTAGTTCCTGTTGGCTCTTCAAGTTCCAAATATATTTGACTGTAGTAGTAATATCTGAAAGCTATTTTAGCTTCTTTCTATCAGTCTTTTCTGCCTAACCTAAGTCAGTTGTAAATGCATGTGCCCTCAAAGGAAGGAGGAAAAAAGCATAATGAAAATAGTCACATGTTCCAAAATGTTAAAAAGATGGAAAGCTATTTAAAGAATGAAACGTCTCAAGAGCTAGAGAATCACTGTGGACTGACATATGGTAATCGTATGTCAGCATATGCCCGTGCTGCATCTACAGCATACATCCATTTGCTGAATTCTATTTGTGTCCAGAACTGTAGCAAGAAGATCAAGTTTCAATGCAGCTAGAAAAATGTAGAAGCATGATGATATTTTTAGTTTTCTGTAGAAGCAATCTTGCACATTATTTATTCTTTCCTTGCTCCTTTCCCTGACCTCAGAGACCATCCTGACAGTTAAAATAAATTTACTCACCTTACTCCATGTTAAATTCTCAGTGTCAGGAAAGATGGGACCAACACTAAGATTAACTATAAAACAAGCACCACCGAATTCCTGAAGTTTTTACTTTTTTTGGCCTCTATGTGAGAATAAATCTCCGATCTCTTCAAGCTACAGGGCGAAAAGATTCAAAGGATGCAGCACATACAAACGTCTGAAATTAAGAGAGAGGAAACAGTTTCAGCTCCCTACTCTGAATCTAATCATTTAATAACCTAACCACTGAGTCACTGTGTGTGTTTGTTTCTGATTTCTAGATCAGAAATCCCATTCTAAACCTGAGAAATCTCCCTTTGCCAAATTTTGTTGGGGTTAATATAATTTTAGTTTCAATGGATCAGAAATATTAAAAAAAGTGCTGGGAAATTTCCAACGTTAGCTGCAAACTAGCTGCGAGATACGAGCTAACCCCAATTCTCATGTTGTTTCCCAAAGAAACCTTCCTTCCCCCATCCCAAAGTTGAGGATAGCTGTTTGTGCTAGTTTTAAGGCCAATATTAGATCTGACAAACTATTATGTTTGGCTATTTCGGCATCTAGAAGAGTAGATTATTATGAGCTGCACTAACATTGATAATTAATAGTAATAATAGTGAATATTGTGTAATACTTGATGCATCTAAAATTTCTTCTGTTAATCATGTGTAAAACGAAAGCGAGCATTTTACTCGAAGGTACTGCGTGATTATGAAATAGGTTTGAGTGAGAAGAGCGACACAGCTCTATAACTTCCAAGTGTAATACAGTGTTGTCTGAGTTACATCGATAAAGTAAAGGAAGTATGTATTTTCTTTCTATGCAGAAACATGCAGTGAAGAATTTAGTTTTCTAGTTGTCAGAAGGTCAGGGAATTGATTCTCCTCTCAAAACAAATCCAAATAGTTTTGCCAAAGGAGTATCATTAGATTGACACTGCAATATTAGAGATGAGACATTCATCCACGTTTTTGAGTCTCAAGCATGAATGAAGGCAGCAGACCAGCGAAGCGATCATTTAATCGTTCAGTTTCATTAAATGGGACACAGGATAACTACATGTGTCAAGAGCTAGAAAAAGGAGCTACTTTTAACATGTAAAGTTCCTGGGATTAGACAGTCAGCAGAATTTCTGCCCAAGGATTGTTGCACTGAAATCTTTTGGAGGTTACTATCATAACAACCATGGTGGTGGCTGTTTGATGTTAACTGCAGTTTCTGCTTCACTGCATTACCTTGCAATGACATTAGCACGTATTTTACATTCTGTGAGGGGAATGCTTCCCTCCTCCTCTCTGCGGCTTAGAAACTGTGAAGAGATGAGATCTGACACTTGAAAATGCTGTAGTGCTGTGACCTCATTGGGATAGAGGATGGTCTTAGCGGATGCAGAAAATTCAGCTGCTCGGAGTATTTTTGCTTTGTCCAGCTGGCATCCTACCACCTCCAGTACGACCTAAAATACAAAGCTGCTTCCAGACAGCAATGCTTGACTTTACCAGCCTTGTCAAAGTTAATTGGATTTGTGACATGGTCGGAAGTTTATTTCTTGATTCTGTTGTCCCCTGCCTTACAGGACATACATGCCAGGGAAAACTACAGTACATCTAGCAAATACTAAAAATATGAAGAGATATGTGGACATGCTGTCAAAATTTTTAGGAACTAAAATTTAAAGCAATGCGTGATTAAAATATATTTTTTTGTTCCAATCTATGCCAACATTGTCACTTAGCTCCTGGTTTATCAAGATAATTAGAGCACTTACAAATATTTTTATTTAAATATATCCCTAGCTCTTTAGACAGTCTAATGTCACACTCCTTAGTTTGGTCAGGCATAAATGCCCAACTAAATCTTACTGTGGATGAACGTTATTTTGGGGAAGAATGCACATAAATCACAGAAATATGAGGTTACACTTCTGGTAAAATCTCTTAGTTTATTAAGCATTAGAAAAAACTTATACTGTTTATTAAAGCCACTGCCTACAGCCATAATTTTATTACACTTCCCTTTGTGTAATAACTTCTATGCTTTATATATGAGATGACAGTCTCAGGCTATAAAATAGCCCTTGTGCAATTCACTTTATAAATCTTTACTACTATTACTAATGTAATATTTTGCTGTAAACATTTTTAAATGCTAGAAAAAACAGCTCTCAATAACTGTGATAAACATTAAGTGATTTAAGTCAAATGCCACAAGAGAACTTCATTCGCATCTACTGCAAAAAGCAGGAGTTTGAGAGCAGATTCACTGGAAAGTATTTATTCTGATATGCAGTCTATCTGATTACAAAAGTTTTGGTTAGACAAGAGGCCCATACATCACCTTTGAGAACAGACACACACACACACTCACACCCAGAGCACACCACTGCAGAAGTCACAGTGGGTACAGTCTTTTCTTTGGGCTTGGAATAAAGGAAAATCAACCATGCTTTTGGGTACAAAGAACATATAGAAATAGCTGAACATTCATTTGTCTGTTAGCATGAGCTAAATTTCACAGATTTTATATGATATTAAGAGCAACAAGAGAGGGAGAGACAGATTTGACAAAGCAATTAAGCATAGGCTTAACTTTAAGTCTGTACCTAAATTGTCATGAAGTCAACAGCTATGCAGTTGGAGCTATGCCAGTATGTAGCTGACTATATGACCATCATGGTTTATTTTATATAAGCATGTTGTTAAGCTTGTAAGCAGGCAACTACTTTTCATCTGTAAATGTTGTGAAAAAAAAAAAAGTTACCAACATTTTTATATTGACTGGTGCAAAAGAATAATAAAATCAAAGAAAAACTACTTGTCATCATTTCAGCAAGAAACAGCGTGTATTTTTTATCTCAATTTCCTTCAAATTTTATTATTAGAATAGCTCTGATGCTTTCAATACACATAGAGCTGGACTAGCACAGAGACAAATCAACTGAGCTTGGTTTCATTTTGGACAGCTCACTGGAAGCATCTGCTAAATGCACAAGGCCAACCTTCTCCACCCCAGCATACTGTATTAGCTGAGAAATAGGAGAGAAATTTTTTTTTTTTTTTTAATTATAGTGCTTCCATCCTTTGTACTGATTTTGATGAGCCATTGGTCCAATTAAAGAGGGCCACCTTTGGTTCTTCAGTTCTTGCATTGCTAGATAACACTGTAAAAGCAAAAAGATTATCCACTTACGATTCTGAAACCATTATTCTACCTGACTAGGAACTTCAGGAATGGACTTACTAACTTCAGTGGAGCAAGGTATGAGGTAAAATTACTAAGTAAAGTTGCTGAAAAAGTTACTAACCTAAAGAAAATCTATCAGAATGCCACCTTCTACAGTATCATCTATTTGACAAATTAATGATAAGAAGCATTAATTATCTTATGCTCTAGTGTATTATGTTAATTAACAAATTCTTCATTAATTTTCCTTCAAGGTAATTAAAAAAAAAATTATCATCTCCAGGCAACAGTCTATAAAATATTTGGTGTATCACACTTGCTTCATTACATTAACATGTCTCTTTCAATATCATTATTTAACTTCAGTAAAATATAAATTTATTTATTTATATGGCATCTAGTAGCAATCTACACACAATAGCTGGAGGAGCAAAAGAAGTTCTTCTCCAACCACGTTTACTACTGTGGAATTTATTTATTTTTTGGAGTAAAGGTCTGTTGGGAAAGATAAGGTTTCTAACAAGCTATTTAAAACGCAGTGAACTATTAAAGAATAATCAGAAAAAGAAAGCAAAATTGCTGTGTGTGCTTTTATTATTTATTAACCTGTTTGAGTAACGGTTAGCACTTATTTTTATACAAATATGAAGAGTTACAATCTCCAAAATTTCACTAGCATTACTCTGTGCTATTAAATTGCACTGCTTTCAGCAGTAAAAATATAGGGGAAAAACTGTCAAGGTCAACAATCATGTACACATCAACATAAAGCTTATCAGCTTTTCTTTATTACGGTCCCTCCACAATACATTATTAATACCAAGGGTGTATTAACTACCATGAATATCTAGCCAATTAAAAAATTGCAAGTTAGTCCACAAGATATTGCTGAGGTCTGGTAGAATCTAAAATAAGATTAGATATTTGCAGGAGAAACATGAATGTCTGTTAAGATAAAAAGAAAACACAGAAACCCAACAAAACCTAACGCTCTATCAGAAGCCAAATTCCAACTTAAAAAGCAACATTCCTCTAGACATACTGTTGTGTTTTGTGTCATTTCTACATGAACTTCAGAAACACGACTGCTACTGAGTGATGTGTTAAATGCATCCATCCCTCTTTTCAGGTACAAGGTCTTCCTTCGTGACAGGAATAGGATGTCCACTTACAAAATTATTTCTTAGAAAACTACTAAAAGCTGGCACAAGGTAAAACAGACCTGAAAGTTCCTTAGTCTACCACCCTGCCAAGGCTGTCTGCGCAGCACATCACCCCACGACGATGGGGACCCTTTGGGTGGCACCTGAGAGGGAGTCCATCTGGCCACGCGCTCTGGAGCCTGCGGCCCTGGAAGTGCCACCATCCTTCACGCAGAGGCAGCTGCAGCTTTTGGAAGGCTGGGCAACCTGCCAAGAGGATGGGTAGATGAGCTGGCAGGGAACCAGCAAGTTTCTGGCAAAAATCCGACAAGCTTGGATTCCACAAGATTTCTTATTTAAAACATAAGAATGTTAGTTTCTGTTCACACCAAAGTACTAAATAGTTTCTATTACGAAGTGCATTTTGTAAAAGTCCATTTTCTCCCTCCAAAATACATGTCAATTAAAGTTGAACCTGACAGATTATCACAAAGTTCAGATAAAACCCACACATTAATCAATATATGCTTAATTAGAATAATCAGCACTGAAATAAGTAGAACCATACAATCTACCTGGTAAGTCCGTGTCATCTATTGCCTGCATAGTGCAATACAGTGAATTGTAAAAATTCTGCAACTAGTTCTAAGAGACGTTGCTGAAATATCACAAGCAGTGTATCTGCTTAACCGTGGCACTTCCTCAGGTAGGCTAGTGCCATGCACGGGCAGACATGGACTATAAAAATGGTTTATAATGTTATCACTCTCTCAAGTTTTTGGTGACTTCCCTTAGCTAGAATTAGTAAAAAGGGTAATGTGATCTCCCGATTTAGCTCAGTATGAAGCTGCCT